CTACCGTTGCCCCAGCCAGTAGCCCAACTTCAGCATCTCCTAGTCCCGTTGTCACTGTCACTGCCACATCTACACCTTCTTCTTCCCCTTCTGCCTCATCTTCTACTCCTTCCAAAACATCTGTGCTATCAACCAAGCCCACCATCCCTAAAAGCCCTGCTCATGTATTGCCTCCTGTCAGAGTTGCCGGATGGCCTGTTGTCCCAATCTCTGCTGTTCTTGGACAGTATCCCTTGCAGCCTACCTCTGTCATGCAGCTTCTTCTCCTTCCTCCCGGCTATGGTCCTAGGAAGTCAAAACCTCAGGCAATTGCCGTCTCTTCTCTGTTTCCATTTGGAGTAGGGCCTTCTAACGTTTGGCCAAAGAAAATAATGCTCAAGCCCCCAAAGAATTTACCAACAACTGCAAAACAGGACAAGTTCTCACCAACGAAATCGTCAACTGCTACAGGATTGGAGAACCCCTTACCAACGAACCCGCCAACTAGTGCAAAATGGAAGAAATTCTTATCACAGCTACGGGATAACAGAGTGCAACAGCTGATGCAGAAAATGCGAGAGTTGATGCGTAAAGGGAAAACTGTAAAGAAACAAGTGTTGCAGTCCACCTCTCTGCAACTGCTGTCTGCGCTGAAGAACGTCAAGCAAAAGTCTTTGGCTTCCTTAGCATTCAAGAAGCAACTTCAAAGATGACATGGCCACATAGGCCGTTTGCCTCTTTTGTATAGTAGGCAGGACGCTTCATGGGCGCGTGTCTTACAGCACCATTACACGAGACCTTTCCATATACTTGCTTGTGGTTTACCTGATTCCATTCCTGAATTCTTTCTAAGGTGTTCCTTATCCCTTTGAGATGATGGGATCAAAGCAGAAAGGTTTTCCTCTGGAGATTTGAAGAACCAGGGGACTTGGAATTCTTTGAAACTGCACTAGGGAAGGGTGCTTCCAGACCCTACTTTAACCTGAAGAATCTTATTGTTAACCGGGCCTTCCTTTAACTGAAAGGCCTCTCGTGATTTCTGAATGGAGGAGACAGATTATTTATTCTTAATTTCAGTTTGAGATTGGACATTAAAGAAATGTTTTGCAGAACTGAGCGGAGTTAGTTCACAAATTCTGCCTCTTCCCCACCCCCACCCCCAAAGAGGTTATCCCCCAAGTATAGATAGTCATCGACTTATGGCCACAATTGGAACGGGAACCTACGTTGCTAAGCAACGCTATCATTCAGTGAGTCAGGCTTGATTTTATGACCTTTCATGCCACGGACATTAAATAAATCCCAGCAGACATTAAGTATAAATCATGTGTTTGTTAAGTGAATCCATCTTTTTCCATTGACTTTATTTGTTGGAAGCTCCTGGGAAGGTCATAATTGAAGATCTTGTGACCTTAGGAAGCTACAGTTATGATAAATACATACCAGTTGCCAAACCTCTGGATTTTGTTCCCGTGACTGTGTGGATACTGCGATAATCATAAGTATGAAGACTATACTTATGGTCTTCATAGCAGAGGTCATAGACCATTTTTCCCAGTGCTGTCATAACTTTGAATAGTTGTTAAATGAATGGTCTTAAGTCCAAGGACCATCTGTAGTTATTTTTCCTTTGTGGGAATCTTTGGAAAAACTTCATTGCCCATGACCCTCGTCACCTAAGCTGAACTGGAAGGGCCACAGGACAGGAGGGGGAAACCTTCCATTTTTCAGTGGTCAACCAATGTGGTTGCTGCTCCTGCAAATCTGTCAGTTGAAGGGAAGGGGTGAATATAAAATATTTGGAGACTGGAAAGAATAGCAAAAACATGCAATCTTTCGGTCATTTCATTGAAGTTATAAGGTCTGTTTGGCATGAATATGCACAGCGCAACTACTTCTCAATGTACTTAGCCAGCACTGATGGAGATTTTCATTCTCTCATGCAGAACGCTGTTTATTTAGAGACCATATAGGCTGGGATTTTAAACATTCATGAAAGAGCATTTTGGTTCTATCAGAGGTTCTCCGTACACACATTTGCACAGAGAGAGAGAGAGAGAGAGTTGGGCACATGCCAATGAATGGGTAGGAAATGAACTGCCAATCATTGCACTGATGGGTTTATACCACCACTGTCTTTTTAATATATATCGCGATGAAAGGCCTTATTAAAATTCTTTGTTGGAGATATATTTTGTTTCCTTTTCAATTGCTGTTGAAAGACTTCAGGGAAAGCCTTTCCTAAGTCAGATTCTTAAGCAAAGCAGTTATCTGAAAAAAGTTTAAGTTATTTGTGTCAGATCTATTTTGGGTTAGCAATAGCAGCAGCACTTAGGCTCATATACCGCTTCATGGTGCTTTTCAGCCTTTTCTAAGCAGTTTTACAGAGTCAGCCTATTGCCCCCAACAGTCTGGGTCCTCATTTTACCCACTGCAGAAGGATGGAAGGCTGAGTGAGAATCAAACTGCTGGCAGTCAGTAGGATAAGCTTTTAATTTGGATTTTAACCACAGCTCTACCTATATGTTTGGGGGGAAAGTTAAACCACAATGTATTTATCATATATATTTCTATACCAAGCAAAATAAGTCAGGCCAGTTATCAAAATTGTATTGTGTTAGAAATGGAAATTCTGGTCCTTATTAGGGTAGTAAGTCAGGGAATATAATATTCTCCAAGATGCAAAGCATCAAGAAAGGCTGGGATTGCCTGATTTAAAACTGTATTTTGTAGCCACCTGTTTGGTCTGGATGAAAGAGTGGATGCTACTGAGAAACAAAAGAATTTTAGAATTAGAAAAGCACAAACTAAGATTTGGACGGTCTGGTTTTCTATAGTTAGATAAAGTTAAAATTAATATATATTTTTAAAATTATTATGTCAGAAGTGCCATATTGAGAATAAGCAATAGATATAAAACCAGGTGTTGCCTGCTGATTCCTGGTTGCATGATACAAGCACATAAGCAGGTGATCCTATGCTTCTCATTGTAGTACATATAGATACAACATGAGGGGAAAGCAGAAAAATGCACACGTTACTTCCTTGCACAGAAGAAAATACAAACGTTTTCTTCAGTAAGGAGTTTCAAAAATTCAAGAATCCCTGATTCTTTTAATATTAGAATATTTTTAATACACAATTATTAGGAGACCCATTAGAAGGAGAAGTATCTGGTCATTCAGAGGGTTTCAGAAACCATATGTGTTTTTATACTTAAAGATATGTAGACTCAGGCATCATGCTTTCAACAAGATGGCATTAGCTTCTCCACAATTGATTCTGAGAAAATACATGATGATTTGGCAATGCTTAACAAATTAGCCCCGCTGAAGCACAACATGTATTACAGTTGTGGTTTTTTAAAGTTCGTGTTTCACAATTTTCCATTAATTACTGCTGAAATCCAATTTCTGTAAACAGAGACTTGCGTGTAGACTGTTGGAGACTCTGGTTCACAATGGTCACTGCTACCCCAGCTCACAAGACCAACAAGCTTATAGCGTCCATCAATCTTGCATATAAGGGGTCCCCCCAAGTCTTGCTGTAAACAGAAGGAGGGACAGAATGAATAGGATGCAAAATAGTAAGCATTTTCAGCCACAATACATAGCTTAAAATCAACCCATCATTCCATAGCAGGGATGTCAAACTCAAGGCCTGGGGGGTGGATCCGGCCCGGAGGATGCTTAGATCTGGCCTGCAGGGCTACCCTGGAAACAGCAATGGACTAGCCCGCAGTGCCTCTGCCAGTGAAAATTGAACTCAGGAGGGCCACCATTTTTGCTGGCAGAGAGTTGCAGGAGGATGTCACAGCTGAAAATGGAGCTCGGGAGCCCATTTTCGCCGGTAGAGCACTCAGGCCACCACAGGTGCCCCCAACACGAGTGACGTCAAGCTGGCCATGCCCACCCTGGCCATGCCTACCCTGGCCCCCTGAGGCCAACTACAACCCTGATGGGGCCCTCAATGAAATCGAGCTTGACACCCCTGTTCTATAGAGCTATAGTTTATCCATGGCACAAGAAATGCAACAATCAACGATACCCTCCTGATATTTTAACTGCAGCTTCCTTTATCGCTGCTGATAGTTGCCCTCCAAAACATCTGGGAGGCAAAACATTGGATTGTCTATTTCTGATTTATGGCTTCATATTTTCAACACCCATCTGAAGTTCTTGTACCATGTGGGGACAACAATTCAAAATAAGCAGGACCATATCATATCTATGGGCAATTTTGTTTGTTTCTGGAGAAGCACATTCTATATACTCCCTTCTTTAAAATGGCAGGGAACTGCTCCATTGACTCTCTACAGCTGCAATGCTGATTTGTGGCAGGGCAGCCAGAAAGCTTTCTGGTGTCAAATACAGTCTTGGGATCACATTGCCCATCTTTTTAATGGGTAATCTTACTGATCACATTAGAAATTTCAGTATGATTGACGCCTCTTCAATTAACTGGTCCCAAATGCAAGATTACACTTCTCCCGTTTAATGACAATATCCCACACCCGTTACATACAGCACATGAAGTTGTCCCCGTAGCACTTCCACATATTTTAGTGTTTTTAATGTCTTCACCCCAGTATCTGGCACAGGCATCATTTGTGAGGAGTGATATTTGTGTTTGCTGCAGCCTTCTGGAAAACCAACCCTCTGGATGGAAAACAAGCAATACCAGACAAATATTATTTGATACATGCAACTGTGGAAAAAGACTTATTAAGTTGTTTTTATCAAATAGTTCCCGAAAGCCCAGGTATAAGTTTCTACCAGTGAAAATAAGAATATGAGTCACCAAGCAAAAAAAAAAGATTCTAAATGCATGTTCAAAGAAAATAATCCTCATGGAAGGCTTAGATGCACACATTTCTATACACACTCTTCTCATGATTTTTGTGAGATTATTTAAGAGTCAGGGAGAGGAGTCCTTCATTTGTTTCTACTGAGAAGTTATTCCTCTAGGAGAACCTGTTCAGAACAGTAGATGGAATTTTAAAAAGGGGTAGATGGATAACTAACTACCCTTTCTTCTTTCCTCTCTGACCTCCTCTTTTTCTCTCTGTAATTTAGCTCTCTCCCAAATAACAAGTTACAGAGAAAAAAGATCTTTCTCTCGCTGATGGCCTGAAATGATCCCTTACACAATTCTTGATTTGTGATGTGAAGACTTCACATACCAGTGCTTATAGCATCAAAATGAGATCTATAATGCTCAAAGCGTTCCAACCGATGTAGTAGAAAATGTAAGGTTTTCTTGAGGGACAAAAGAACTTAAACGAAGTGCTAATCCACCTGGAACCTAGCTCTCTGGAGAAAACTCTTGATGCTGGGGAAAATGGCAGGAAAGAGAACAAGAAGTTGAGTAGTAGTTGAAAGGTGGATGGGCTCAGTTACAGTGGTGATGGGGGCACCATTGGAAAAGCTGAAGGACAAAGGTTAGGGTCTGATCAGAGTGGACACAGTGGCACAGAGGTTTAATGACTTTGGGACTGCCAGCCAGAAATGGTCTGCACTGCAGTGGTTTGAGTCCAGCACCATGAGACAGAGTGAGCTCCCATCGATCGATCCCTAGGTCCTGCCCACCCAGCAGTTTGAAAGCAGGCAATATTGCAAGTAGATAAGTTGGTACCACTTTGGTTGTGGGAAAAATCTAACTGTGGTTGTGTGTGGAGAGTAAAAACCAATGTTGGACATAGTTAGACATGAGG